AAGGCATTATGTAAATAATGTTACCTGGTTTTATTTATAAACAAAGTAACCACTTTCACTTCTATCACTTCACCTGTATCTCACTTATTGATGAAAACTAAATGCTAGTAGCAAACTGGTTATGCTTTGGGTAATGTTCTTTAAACATGAGGTAGCTGCTTGATTGAGGCGTAATCTGAGGACAACTGCTTTAATGTTATTCTCCCAGTTTGCCACGTGTATCTCACTGTTCACTATCAAAATTAACAAATGATTATACCATGTTAAGAGACCAGTGTCCTAGATGATGATGAAACCCCATGTGAGAAGGTACTAACACATTAAGTGACATGGCAATCTTATTTCTGCTCGGAACTCTTCAGGGACTCTTGAGAAAGTCTAATAACCCCTTTAGTAGTTAGCATTGCTTCAGAAAAGGGAAGATGTACAACAAAGTTGCATATAAAACTGCCAGCCATTGACATTTTTATGTACAGGGTAATTATTACAGAATTATTACAGTTAATTATTACAATTATTTTATTATAGATTTATGTATTACTACAGTTATTACAGAATTACCTTTTCCCTAAAGGTTGCTAGAAGCAATGGGAAAACCTTGTCCTTTACTATAAAGGAAAACAAAATGAGATCTGAAATGTGAAATGGAGAAGTTGGAGGGAAAATTGTGCAGATTCAGGGAGATGCATGATTCCTCTTTCTCCTCCTTTCGCATACATCTCGTTTTCAGCAAAAGTTTGCTAATCAGTGGCTCTGCTTTCACTTCTCTCTAATTTACTCTTCAAAAAAGGGTTGTTTTTTGGTTTTTTTTTTTGAAAGAACCCTAAATATATATCCACTGAGGAGGAGATATGCACCTGCAGTTTTGTTGTAGTGTATACAGCATTGGTACTGTAACTTGGTGAGGTTTGTTTTAGAAGGCTGACCTCTCCTCTTAAGCATGGTGGTTCTTAAAAGCAGTACCCCTGTCACCTTAGTTTTATTAGTTGCCTAGTGAAAATTAAATGTCCTGTGATTAATGCTCCACAAGGAAACGCCACCATCCGTGACCCGTCCAGTCAGCTTTACTTGTGAAGGCAGAAGCAAATTCCTGCAGGAGTTAGCAGTGACATGTATGGAAAACAGGACTTCTGAGGAGGCTTCAAAAATGGTTGCCGCGAGGAAGGAACATGGATGTGGTTTTGTGAGGCGCTTGCACACAACCAGCTCTGATGGATCAGAGTTGAGCGGTTTTGTCCTGCGTGTGGTACTCCAAACATAAAACTTTTGTGGCCTTACAATTGTTAGTTGAATTAGTCTGTCTGCACTGTGAAATAATACAGGATGGTTTGTCCAAGAGTACTTGATTTCTGTACATAAGTAAAATTCTTGCCCTAAATATGCAGAAATAAATGAATGGGGATAAAATAACTGCATGCAGTCCAGCCTTATAAATAAGGGTCTGCAGTTTAAAGCTCTGCTCCAAATGATGACTTAAGCATGAGGTTTTGTTTAAATACATGAACTGCCCCACTGACTCCGCTTATGTTACTTTCATGCTTTCTGTGCATAGTTAAATCTTTCCACAGAGCAGAGACCTGGAGCAAAGCACAGATCTCCAAGAGCACAGCACAAATCTCCAAGATTTGGTGTAGTATTTTTCTTACATGCTTAAGCACAAATTTTGTGCCCTAGATTTCATGCAAGTTCCTGAGTACTGTCTGTTTACCTTCTTAAGACTTTTGTGATACCTAGCTAACAGAAAACATTCAGCAGGATGTTTTAAATAGGCTCTGCTCAGAAGCCCAGTGAAGTAGGCTGCAGCCAGATGCCCACCCAGATGCTCTCCCACTCCCCTCCTCAACAGCACAGTCTGAGAAAAGAGGATGAAAAAGCCCATGGATCAAAATAAAGATGGGGAGATCACTTAACAATTAACATCATGGGAAACAGACTTGATTTAGGGAATTAACTTACTGGAAATAAAAATAGATCTGGGTGTCGAGAAACAGTTAACACACCTTTCCTTCCCACCTCTTTATCCCAGGCTAAACTTCACTCCTTCATTCCCAATTTCTCTACCTCTTCCCTGCTCCCTGACCTCCAGTTACAGAAGTATGCCTCAGCATTTCCATATGTTTAAGATTGGTGAGATTCTGAAATTCAGTTGGCAGTCATTTTTATTACACAAAATTGAAGAAAAAAATAAGCTTTGTTTGTAATATGCTGTTATGCAGTGTATTATATTGGCTATTTATTAGAATCAAATATTCTCATTTTCCATTACCTTCTAAACAGCAGCATTTTCTGAAGTTAATAATAGCTTTCTCAAAGCTCCCACTATTTGATAGCAATACATTTTTTACATTCTTAGCTGATGTAAACTGATACTGGTGAATGAAGACTTGGACATGAGCCTGCAATGCGTGCTTGCAGGCCAGATAGCCTGTTGTATCTGGGGCTGTGTAACAAGAACCGTGGCCAGGAGGTAGAGGGGGGTGATTCTCCCTGTCTGATGCACTCCATGACACCTCACCTGGAGTATGGTGTTCAGCTCTGGGGTCCCCACAGAGAAGACACAGTCCAGAGGAGGGCCTCTTATTTGGGAAGGCTGGATCACCTCTCCTGTGAAGAAAGGCTGAGAGAGTTGGACTTGTTCAGCCCGGAGAAGGCTCTAGGGAGACCTTATAGCAGTCTTCCAGTACCTTAAAGGGGCCTACATGGAAGCCGGAGAGGGACTTTTTAAAGGGCAGGTAGGGACAGGATAAGGGGAAATGGCTTTAAACTGAAAGAGGGTAGATTAGATATTGAGATTAGATATTAGGAAGAAATTCTTTATTGTGAGTGGTGGTAAGACACTGGCACAGGTTGCCCGGAGAAGCTGTTGCTGCCCCATCCCTGGCAATGTTCAAGGTCAGGTTGGATGTGGCTTTGAGCAACCTGGTCCAACCCCCATGGCAGGGGATTGGAACTAGATAAGCTTTCAGGTCCCTTCCAACCCAAACAATTCTGTGATTCCATTACTATTTTCAATTGATGCACTTCACTGACATTTTGAAAGTCACTAACAAATAATGGAGTAGTCCATTTTCAACTGCATAATAATGATTAGCTACCAGGGAAAAAAAAAATTACCTGGAGGCAAAATATATTTCATAATAAAACAGTCACATATGTCACCTTAATGTATTTTATCTGCTGAAAAAAAAGTGAACAAACTTACACATCATTTGTTTTTCACTCCAAGTATGTATCATAATTTTAGCCTTGGGTGTGTCTTGTAAAACAACCTTTAAATTGTTGTCCCTGCTAGTGATCTTTAAGCATCGATAAAAGCAGGACACACTTGCTTTACTTCCACACCATCCATGTTGTCCTTCTTTTATTTTTACATTCTCAAGAGTAAAGTTTCATGAGTTTCTCTTTGATGCTGTGCTAAAGGTAGTTCATTTACATGTCAGCATCTACCATGAGCAAGTAAGAAATAGCATAAGCTGTAATAAACTGTTAGTAATTATCCATTCTAGTAATTTCAAACCCCATGAAACTTAGTGTTTTTAAATATCATACCTTTATTTATCTATAGAACATTTTCACAGGACTCATAATGCATACAGGAAATTGGCCAGTTAAAGTCTCTAAAGATCACTTACATTGTATTTTACCTCACAAAGATTTGCTGTGTTCTCTCCCATCAGTGTATTCCGCTCAGTTGGTACTTAGCCTATGGTAGATGGGTGGGATAAGACCATATTTAAATATCAAAAGATTATGTATACAATCTACTGTTTCTTTAGAATAGACCAGAGCTATTCAGGGAATATATATCAAACATAACTTTCTGTGCTTCAATATAAATTTTATAAGAAACAGAAAAGGTCTTTTTGTTTTTAATTTTTACCCTTTGCAATGGGTATTGATCTCAGAGGAGAACATAGTAGGAAGAAGTGCTACAACCTGAAATCAAAGGCAGCCCAGCTCTTGCCTCAGGAGGTAGCTATACTTGTCACACTTGCCCTCATGCATATTCTTTGTTCTAATTATAGTCTCAGTGAAGAGAGTATCTCCACAGTATTTCAGATTTTGTTTTTTTCTACTTCAGCTCTATACTCCAGCTGCCATCCTGGCCCCAGCACTATCTGAAGTGAAGCAAGATCCACTTCTCCCTTGACTTTAATATGTAGCTCTCAAATCTGCCTTTCGTTGTCTCCTCAGCAGCCTGTAATGTATCACCAACACGACGCAGCAAAGCTCCTGTGAAGCGGTACTCCTCCTCCACTTGCAGCCTGCACAGGCTGAATGGAAATTTCCAAAGAGATGCTGACGGTCTGTCCCTAAAACTTTGGAAGCCCGTTAAGCAGAGGCAGGCGTTAACCTGACCCGAGGCACTCGGTGAGCACCTGTACACATGGGTTCTATGCCCACTGCACATTCTGCACAGTGAGGGCTTCAGTTCGCATTACTCCTTGTGAGCCCAACCCCAAGTTTGCTGTCCCTGCTGCACCTGTAATAAATACACAACCGGGACTGTTCTAACAGAGCCTGACCGACCATCCGTAGCACATCTGCAAACTCGGAAGCTGTCAACCTAGCACTGCCATGAGACTGCGCAAAAGGACAGGTTCTCCTGAGCTTTCTTTTCCTACCCTTCGTAAGAGGTCAGGGTTTCTCACGCGGAACTCCACCCTGACAGCACGGATTACCGAAGGCTCAATGCTCCGGTTCAATGTGCCCCTCACAGAACCTACACGAGGGAACCGGGGTCTGCCAAAGCCTGAGCTAGCCCGAAGCCGCCGCTCCCGCGGGCCAGCACCCCTTCCACAGCAACCGCTTAATAGCCGCCCTCACGCCCGACTCGCCCCCCCCCCCGCCTCAGGTCTCCCCACAGCCTCCGCCGGCGCCGCCGCCACCTCCGCACGCCCTCTACCGACTTCCGGTGGCGGGAGGCGCAATGCGGAAGGGACGGCGAGTCCGGAGCGGAAGTGAGTGCTCGCCGGCTCCCGCGGCACGGAGCGGAGCGGGCTGCCGTCGGCGGCAGGTGGCGCGGCCGGTGAGGGAGGCGCTGGTACCGCTGCGGCTGAGAGGGGGTGAGGGGAGGCTGAGGAGCGGTGGGGTGGCGGACGTGCGGCGGCGCTTGTCAGTGTACGGCGGCGGCGGCCCGGCTGTCTGCGTTGCGGGGCTCGGGCCGCGGGGGCGCCGCTGGCGCCAGACAAGATGGAGGAGGCCGTGTTAGCGTCGTGGCGGGTGCTGGCGGCACCGGGCTGCTGCGGTCGGCGGTGCGCGCCGGCCCTGGGCGGCAGGTGGTAGTGGGGCGGGGGTCTGCTGGCCCGGTGCCGGCTGCGGCGCTGCCCCTCAGCAGGGCGGTGGGAGACTTGCGGCTGTGTGGTGGCCCCTTTCCTCCTGCCCAGCGAGGGAGGGGGATTTAGGGTGAAGAGCCGGCCCGGCGGTGCTACCTCCTCACGGCGGTGCTGCGTCTGCAAGGGGCTGTGCTGGAGGGCAGGGGCCAGCGTGTTTCGGACCGGCGGCGTAAAGTCCGCGGCCACCCTGGAGGTTACAGACTGAGCTGAAAGGAAGGGAGAGGGCAGAAACCCCTGCTCTGGCTTTTCAAGAAGAATCTTCTCTCGCTGTATGTTTCCTAAGCTTAAACCCTGAAAATTTGGTTACTCACGCGTTTGTTTATAGTTCCTTATTGCTTGTTTTTTTTTTTTTTAATCGTTTTAAAGGAAGGTCTTATCTCTGGGGCTTACAGGCGGTTTCAGGAGCACAACACTGCAATGTTTCAGTCATCAGCCACTGCAGGGGAGGGTTTAAATCCAAACAAAAACCTGGTTTCATTTTTAAAAAGAAAGCCAAAATAGGTTAACGGTTTTGTATGATCTTAAAATGTCTTAACAGCTTTAGTGTCGAAGGTATACTGTCCTTTGCTACAAGGTCAGAATCAGTAAAATAGATATAAAAATTGAAGCCTCAGGCTTCTGGTCCTCTGCATTTGGCATTAGTTTATGATTAAGATATTTGCCGCTCTTACGTGTTTGTAGTGGCCAGCAAACATGATTTTCATTCTTTTTTCTTTTTTTTTTTTTCCTAAGAAGAAATCCTGTTTAGTAAGTGTTGTGAAATAAGTTCTCATTGTCTCTGAAGCTTTTAAAATAAATCCTTGATTTTGAAAGATGTTTCTCTGGGTAATTGTGATTTCGAAACATTGATGTGTTGTCTTTAGATAGTCCCTATGTTTGTTTGAAATAAAGTAAGTCTTATGAGGTAGAAAGAGTGAGCAGGTTTTTTTTTTTGTTTTTTTTTTTTTTTACAGTTGTAGTTGTTTGCTTATTTTTGTTAAACATACAAAATCTCTAGAAAAGGATGCAAGTCAGACCTGCTTTGCAGAAGGTATCTGGAAGTACAGGAAGGTTTCACTAACATCATCTTGTGTTGGACAGGACTGCCTCTGGTAAAGGCAAAATGGCTTTCAGTAAAGGATACCGCGTCTATCACAAGCTGGATCCACTTCCATTCAGTGTGATAGTGGAAGCCAGAAACAGAGAAGAATGTCTCATGTTTGAATCCGGAGCTGTGGCTGTCCTCTGTAAGTCGATATGTTTTGATAACTACCATGTAAGAAGTTGGCAGACGTGACATTGTGTAAGCTGTTTATTTATGGAATATAAAGAAGCAAGTATTCTATTTTCTTATTTGCTAATGAAGACGCTTCTGATTTAAATAAGAGGAAAAATAAAAAAGATGTTTTCATATCTCCATCTGTTACGAGAAAATTTTACACTTCTAATTTCATTTCATCATGCACGTCTATTTTCATGTATACTAAATTTTCTTCTAATTGCTTCCAACAGTATCTGCTTATTTCTTTGGTTCTGAGCAACCTTTTCTGTTTTAGTACCTGGTAACTCATTGAAAAGCTAATTCTCTGTGTTGTATTTCATAATAAAAAATTCTCTATTCTTAAATGGTATATCATCTTAATTTGTTGGTTTTTTTGTCTCATTTTGTCTCATGATTTTTGATGGGTTTTTAATTTTTAGTTTTATTTTGTCCCTGTATTTTTAACCTATCTGGAGACTCTGTATTGATTTGTCTTGTAATAAAATGAGTAATATTTGGAGCAAGGTGTCTTGCATTGCAAAATTATTTTTACATGTTTTCAGTTATAAATACATTAAATGTTTCCCTTGGATCCTTTTTGCCCCCTTCCTCCCCCCCCCCCTTTTTTTTTTTTAGTCATAATTGAAGGACACTAAAATGGGAAGTGCAGAAGAGATCATGGAGCCTATAGATAGGATTTAAAAATGTAGTTTGATTTATATTCTTTAGAAAGTCTGAGCACCTGGTTGCACAGGGTTAATGAGCTTGGTTTTGACTCTTTTTATAGAAGGCTTTCATACTGTAGAAGTATTTCCTTTTTTTTTTCCTAAGGTCAGTAGCTTTTTGATTAATTCATTCTGGTGCCTGTGGTTTTCTGGCTTAGCTATTCTGAGCATCCGATCAGAAAATGAGATATTTGATTCACTGCATGGAGTCTGAGTGGACTCAAATCCCTACCTTTCAACAGGATGCTCTCTCTGGCTTTGAGACTGTAGAGTAGGCTGAATGGGGAGTGTGTTCTCTGACAAGACTCAGAGTTAGAAATGTAATTTCTAAAGAAAAGTGAGACTTGAGATATGTTTCCTTTCTTCAGCATTTGCAATTAACTCTCCTCTGTGTGAGTTTGCTCCTTGGCAGTGGCATGGTCTCTGGCACCTGGCTGTCCCTGTGTAGGGTACTTCATGTTGGGCCACAGAATCATCTGTACTGGACAGGCTAAACGAACAAGTGCTGTCTAGCATGCAGCTTAATCTGTATCTTTAATGTGTGATTAGAGCAAGCTGCCATTAACTGCTAGAGGCCTAGCAGTGGGCATGCCAGCATGGTTGACATTATAGCTGCAATTCAGTGATGATCTGATTGAAAAACAATGAGTGCTTTCCTCCTGTTTTTTTAGATTATTTTCTTTTTCTGATACAGTTTCTTCTTTCTACGTATGTAAGTAATCTCATTGACTTTGCCATCAGTATTTAAAAGGCTACTTCAGGAGCAATGCATTAAAAACAATTCACTCCTGAAAGTTACACTCAGAAAAGACAGTAGGTCACTATTTCTGCTGTGATACACTGCAGGCACTTGATAAACTTCTCTGAAAATTAAAAAACGTATCAAAGTTCTTGCCCTCTTCTTTGCCTCATGTTGTTACCAAACAGAGTAAGTAGACCTGAAACAAAGTTTGAAAGCCTCTCTCCTCTTTGGTTCTGTACTTAGTAATAGCATGTTAGTCTGTAAAGAGTTCTCCTTGGTATTCTAATTAGTAGGTTACAATACAGTAAACATTCATAGTTAGCTAGAAGTAGGTCCCCTGAATATTGTTTTCAGTAAGCTTAACCAGTAAACTGCTAATTCCTGTCTGGTAAATGCGTGTATTTTCCCAATGCATACTTAGCTGTGGCATTTTGCTTTGATTCCCTCTTTGCACCTAAAGTCAGTAGATACTGAAACGTGATTTTTTTGTTAATGGTTGAAAGATCACAGTCATACCCTTGAACTGACAGCAGAAAAAAGCACTAGGGTCCCATAGCTCAGAATTATTTTTCCTCTTTTTTCTGCTTGCTGTTTGCTTCTCTTATTCTTTTTAAGACGCGGTTAAAGGACTGCAATTATAAGTGCTTGGGGAAGATTTGTAAAGTGCTCGTCCATCTCTGTAATCGTGCCACAGAAAACAATCAGAAGATTCCAGTCTGTAGTCTTACAAAATTCTGGATATTGGTACAAATATAAGCTGAAGTTAATGCAAGTCTAACCCTAGGGGAAGATTTCCCAGATATTTGTAAAATCTGAGTGAATAGATAGAAAAATGGTCAGATCAAATATATATCAATTTAAATCCAGAATGACATCACTTTAAACTGTTAAAACCTCTTTTTTTTTGCTAATGCTTTGTAGACTACAAAAATTAACAATACTGATCTCAAACTGTTAGACATTTTTCAAAATATTTTCATGAAGATAAAAATATTTTCATGAAGATAAAATAAGGTGTTCAGCCTTATTACCCTATCAGAGTTCTTACCTTGTGTAATGTAGGCAGAACCTAGTGAAATATACTTTACTATTAAAAGTGATTCATGTGGCTCAGTTCTGAGCGCCATAGTGATCTGCATCTTCTGGAGTATCCATGTATAGAAATTTGGATTTGAAAGGGGCTAAAAGAAAGGAATGAAAGCTTACTGATCCTTTAAATGTCATCTTGGAGGAAGTACATATGTCGTTTTGCTGAGGGAAGGATGACGGTATTAACCTTCATCCCCTTTACATGCAATGAAGTATTGCAGGATGATTCAGAGGATTTAGTTAGGCCTCTGTATGAAATGCTATACAACTCAAATGTTGTGTGATTTTCAGCGCATGTTGTGCATGCACTGAAGCTGTTATTCAAGTTAACAGAATAAGATGGAAGAAAGGAAGAGGGTCAGAGGGATAGTTCACAGAGGTGGTTGTTGCATAATCACTCGGCCTTAATGTGGAAGCAGCCCAGCTCCTGCTAGAATTTTTCTATGTGCTGCTTGTAATGTGGATTAGCTAATGCTAGTGTGACCAAACCATCTGAGAAATACTTTGCTTGCTTGTATACATTTGATACCTCGTTTGTTGACTCAGTCCTAGTATTGGATTAGCCTAAGATACTGAAGTCTGAGAGGAACTTGCCAGCTTGTCTCTCAAGGCCTTTTGAGAGCACTTAGTTTTAAATGTCATCAGCTTTACTGCTGATTTGTATAGAATGTAGTGGGAGAATGGCAGACATGTATTTTTTCTTATTTGACATACAAAATAGACAGTATATTTATTCTTTGAGATAGGACTCCTTAATGAGATACCTTACCTGTAAAGGTTTAGTTGACTGAGCAGGAGGTGATGTCTCTCCCTTTTCCTCTCTGGTGAGTCATAATGAAACAAGTGGGAAGCTGTCTTTACTCCTTTCGCATGCAATGAGTAAAGGATAATTCTGTCATCTGGGAAAATACTGAGCCCTGAGTGGAGAGAGCAGGAGCTTTGTGCACATCCTTTGACTTGAATCTTATGGTAACACTGAGAAGAGGGAAGGTGTGAACAAGAAGAGGCACTGTGCCCACCCTGAGCTTTCTGTAGATCTAGATAAATAGCTGTGATAAGAATCTGTGTGCAGCAGGCATCCTGGTATTCGTGTTCATTCTTAGCAGTGCTACTCCACTACCCATCCACGTTTTCTTTTTAAAAAGAAAATCCTTCCGCATTGCATTCTTGAAGGGGGGAAGCAGATATGCTAGTATCTATCTACAGGAGCAGATGGCATATAATAATTCTGCAAAACATTTTAAATTGATATGGTGCTTGATGAAACTTAGACACCTGAAGAAAAACATACTAACATACATTTGATGAGCACTTGCTTTATGTACATTATTAAGGAGATATATATATATCTATATATACACACTATATTTTGTGTTCTTACAAACAGAGGGTTTTTTTCTTTGGTGTTTGCTGTCACCAGTAATAAGCTGTGACTGTCTGATTCTGCCCACACCCCTGATAATGTTTATACAGAGTTTTCAGTGGATCCACATCCACTTAACTAGGGAAGGAGAGTATTTCCAAATAATTCACTACATTCTGCTTTTTGTGATGGTATCCTATAACAGAAGCTTCATATAAATATTGTCCTGTTTTATATACATATATAAAGGTGCAATAACAAGAATTAAAATTCTTCAATCAATAATTTATCCTCTGGAAAGAGTGTCTCTATGTTAGACAAGAAAGATCGAATATGGGCTGAGGCAGAAGTAGTTTTTGAGTGTATTTTGATGTAGTACTGTATTAATCTGAAGCCAATTTGAAGGGACTACAGTGCAAAAGTAGACAGCAGTTTCACCTTCCTGTCTTTATTACTGTTTTTACTAAATGTCATCTTCTGGACTTTGCCTTCCTATTAAATAATATCTTAAAACACTTAAGCTGCAGGGAAGCAACAGCTATTGTGGGTGCCAGGGGCAGCTGTGCTGGTAAAGGAGGCTGTAATTGTCTTCCTGTCAGCAGGTGCTTTTCCTAGGATTCTGCTGGAATTCACTGTCCTTTCAAATCTATTGGAAAGACGTTCCACTCATTGCTTTCCAGGCATTTCCAACAAAATTGCAGTTTAACAAAGACCATGTATGCTAGCCTAGAACGCAGTGAAACATACAAGAAGTACACTAAGAATCTTTGTAGAAGGTTGGTGGAGGCAGTAACTCTTGCCTGGGAGGACTGTGACCTCTTTGAATGGCGTGATGGATCTGCAAGAATTTGATCCACAGTTCTGGAAATACTAGGAAGTTATGACAGAATCTGAAGCCTTTTTTCATATTAAAGTAGACTAGCTTTACAGAAAGAGTGAAGACTATTCTGTATGTTTACCACACCCCTTTGCATGATTTTAACATGGGATTTCACTGGCAACAAATAATTCTTTTTATGGATGTTCCCTTTCCAATTCAGTAATTTTTCGTTTCTGTGGTAGCAGAC